GGCTGATTTTACGTCCCGGTATATTTCCTCTGCCTCATGTGTGAGTTCTGATGGTTTGCTAATGGAGAGAAGTATCAGGGCGGAGCCGCGGTCCTCAGGAACGGAGCGATATGCTGGTGGAACCATTTGAGCTCTAATAATACCAGGACTAAAATGTCCTCAAACAGGTTTCTGTAAGGCAACATAAGTTAATGTGATTATCACAAATCAAGCCATTAACTAGTAGACTTTTGGAGAAAAGAGATCTTATGTTAAACAGACCACATTTAATCGTTTTACTATTTCACCAATTTGAGTTATTTTCATTTTAATTAGATTATCATGATTTACTATTTTGGCGAATCTTTGCTAATTTATTAGATTTTGGTCGTGGGCAAGACACTGTCTGGATGGAGTAAAGAGTGGGTAACAGTAGAGAAGCTGCAGAGAGGTTTGTTAAACTAGGACTCTGCTTCCTGGTCTGCACCCTGGGGGGTCAGGGTTTTGGAGGACTAATAAATGTGTCCAGATTCCTAGAAAGAAGAGCTGCACCATCCAAAGTGGGATGGATGCCGTCTCTCTGAATCAGACCAGGCTTTCCCCAAAAGGATTGCCAATTATTAATGTAGCCCACGTTGTTTTCAGGACACCACCTAGACAACCAGCGGTTGAATGACGACATGCGGCTAAACATGTCATCACTGGTCAGATCAGGGAGGGGACCAGAGAAAATTACAGAGTCCCACATTGTTTTGGCAAACTTACACACCGAAGCAACACTAATTTTAGTGACCTCCGATCGGCGTAACCGGGTGTCATTACTAGGGGTGGGTATTGCCAAAGAAGTCACAATTCGATTCGAATCACGATTCACAGGCCACAATACGATTCTATCACGATGCATCACGATACTTGAATTATTGCGATGCATTGCGATATTTTCACTGAACACTGTTAGAAAAAAATACAGCCATTACCAGTGGCTGACTGGCTGAGTATGACCTGGGTAGTGTCTTATATTGGTTTTGTTTTTAAAACTAAAATGCTTCCAAGCATCGTATTTGAAATGTGACGGAGCCGGACGAAGTTACTCAATCACCTCCTTTTGTTTTTGAATGACTCGGCGCAGTATCCCGCCGCTGCTTGTGACACAAGGCAGCGTGCGTCAACACATCCGCAGCGACATCTACTGGACTGGAAGTTGTATTACACTTGTTTTTAGCTGATGTTCGCCAACCATTCATGCAATTTTATTTATTTATTTATTTTTAATTAATCATCGATACTTGGCGTCAAGAATCGATGCAGCAGATAACGAAGATTAGAATCACGATGCATCATCGTGACGATTATTTTGCACACCCCTAGTCATTACCGCCAGCGTGAATAACAATCTTACTGTATTTAACCTGATCCTTAGCCTGTAGTTTCAGGTAGGATTTGATGTCGCCCGTTCTGGATGGGAAGCGAAACGTCTTCAAACTTGGAAACAAAGTCCAGTGGATTATTTTTTAATTGTAATTTGGAATGACTCTGACCTGGATGACTTAGAATCTTTCCCAGAATCTCAAAGTTATTCATTGTCAATAATAAAAAATACACAAACAGCCAATTCATATCAAACATAGCAGGAAGGCTGTAGAGTGAAACTGTTGTTTTATCCTTTTCTAGCTTCCAGCCTTGTGCTGCAAAGCTGGAACAAACACAGAGACCGTTAGCTGTCTCAATAACTAAATATATATGTTTATTTGTGTGTCTATATGTGTAGTAATGCAGATATGTTCTTAAAAATCTTGCATCTATCAGTAAACCTACAGAAATGCTCAGAGCTGTGGTTTAAAGAGCAAAGAAGGATTCATAACTGGATTTCCTTCCATCCTTGCAAAGTGAGTTTGCTGTTTAAAATGTGTTCTGGAAGCGGAAGCATTTTCTGTTTTTAGTTTCTGTGCCCCCCTCCCCCCGCCTCCAGATGTAGATGATGCGTCTCCCCCTCAGAGGGACGCCAGACTCTGAGGCCACTGGACTTGAAAACAAGCAGAGCTGAGCTTGTTTGTGGACTGACAAAACTCATTGGTCTTCTTTCTCAATGGGAATTAATGGGATTAGAGCTTTTCCCTGCCTCCTGAATCTTTCTCTGCGTAATGTGCGGACAGCTCCTCCGTCCTGCTTCTGCTCCCAGAGCGCCGTGTTATAAGCCGGATTCATTGGCTTCTCTGCAACAATGAGCAGCGCGGGGACTCTGGAGTGTAATCACATTCTGCTGCTTGTCTGAATACTTGTCTTTCACGGCTGGGGGCGTCGGCTTTGGCCACTTGACCGGTGTCATCGTCCGACCTTTGCTAGGCAGCCTGAAGAGGCGGGCTGAGGGAGATTTGTTGATTAGAGTTTCATCTGTGTGTCTCTGGCCGCAGGTCAAACACATGTTCTCATGATGTTCTGACCTTTTCTGCAGCGTTTAAATTAGCATTCTGTGCCCCCCCTCCATCCATGTAAGTGGGCTATGGATTAACATCCTGAAGAGGCTGACTGGGAAACATTCACTTGTTCCTGAAGCCCCTGGATGTTTGATGGCTCCAAATGTTCCCCCCGCTGCCCCCATCTGATCTCCAGCCATTTTTAACGGTGACCTTGCAGGAATGCAAACGAGCTGCCTCTGACTCATACGGCCGTTCAGGCGTGTTCTGACCTCCAAACTTTTTAGGCTCCTTCCAGTGGTTATTTTTCCTCGCATTGCAGGACATTTGTTCCAACTCTTTAATCAAGTAAAGCAAAGAATGCTGGAAATGAAGGAAAGTAGGACAGGATCAGGAGTGGGATTTACTAAACTATACGGTCAGTTTATGAAAGAAAAGCTTTAGGGATGGGGAGTGGTGGCCTGGTGGTTAGAGCAGTGCGCTTGGGTCCCAGAGGTTCTAAGTTCAAGTTCAACACCCCCCCCCCCCCCCCCCCCCACCCCCGAACAAGACCCTTAACCCCACACTACTCCCCGGACACCAACAGGGGCAGCCCTGTGCTCCCCAAGGGGACGGGTAAAATGCAGAGAGTAAATTTTCCCATTTTTGGGTTTATTTTAGGGAGGATTTGGGTCAAATTTACAAAAATATATTAAAAAAGTTTGAATATTACTCTCATGGGTAGCACTGCTGCCTTGCACGAAGGTTCCGGGTTCGATTCCAATGTCTTTTTGTTTGCATGTTCTCCCTGAGCATGCGTGGGTTCTCTCTGGGTACTCCGGCTTCCTCCCACAGTCCAAAAACATTAGCATACAGTACAGCTACATACAGTAGCAGCCATTCAAAATGGCCCCTTCCCAGTCAAACGCCGGCCCAATGGCAGCCCAGTTCCCTCCACCTCCCAGCAAAATCGCCTCCAACTTCCAGCCACTGCAGTGACCCCCTCTTGCATATTTTTTACTCTGACTCCACCCTTTCACTGAATTATAGTGTCTGACCAGGAGATGGCGCTTCTCTTTAGATCTTAATGTCCACAAATCATGACAGATTTAGTACAAAGATTGATGTTTAAAATGGAACTGAGGGGGGCCAGCAAAGGACCCATTAAGGAAAGAGGGGACATTTTGAATGGCTGCTACTGTAGCCTCTCTAAATTGTCTTCAGGTGTCAGTGTGTGTGCAGGTTGTGTGTCTCTGTGTTGCCCTGCGACAGACCGATGATCTGTCCAGGATGCACCCCACCTCTCCCCCATAGAAAGGCCACCGGCCCCACCGTCAGCCTGAGAAGGACTACGCGGGAGAAAAGGTTATAGTTGGATGTGTGTATATATCATGTAAAACTGTAACTAGAGCGTGTAACAAAAGTAATTTCCCTCTGGGATTATTAAAGTATTTCTGATTCTGAAAATGGATGGATGGATGTGTTCATCATCTTTCCATAATTACTGCATTGCTTTTATAGTTTGATATGTGATCTATATTGTTGTTGGTCATTCCAATGAAATGTGTCCACTGCCTTTAACTCACCCCTAAGGTAGCAGCCTGCCGCCCACTGAGGGGGCTGAGGGTTCTCTCACAGTGGCGGTCTGTGGTGGTCGAACACGGCGCCTGCAGCCTTTCTGCTTTAACTGCTAAATTCTCAGGTTTCATGGAAACTGATCTGATAGATGCTAGGCTCTGAATACGGCTGCTGGAATCTACATCTTTACAAACCCAACATTTCAGATCTATATTCCAACTAGGGAGGCCATTTCTATAGCACCAAAAAGGAGGACATTGTGGCAGAAACCATGGAATGAATCTCCACTTCCTTTGGTCATAAATTCACGCTCTTTTGTCCATTCTGGGTTAAACGACGTCCTGGTTTTGACAGGACGCTAACTTTAATACTTAGCATCAGTGATTCTGATCCTTGTTTACTTTTGTAACCAATGACAAGCAGATCTTTATGTGACATGCCGCCACTCTTAGCCAATCATCTGTTAGATCAGATAGTGATGCATTTTTGATGATTGGATATTGTGCTGCAGCCCAGCAAAATAAATAAAAATCTGCTCTACAAGCCTAGTGCCTCATAAAGGAGGACAAATACACGTCTGGCTGGATGCTGCGCCGGATGCCGGACAGTGCAATGAACATCCGGACTGTCCGCCCTAAAGACGGACATCTGGCCACGCTAGTTCCAAATAATGCTAGCTATCCCTCAGTAGATCAAAGAAACAGAAGAAGAAAACACAAAGCACTGGACCAGGTTCCCTTTTAATGAGAAATCAAAAAAGTCATGGTATCGCTGAATGGGAGGAATGTAAAAATTTTTTTTACAAAAGACAGTAAATTTAGGAACGGAGGTTGTGTGTGTTTTATAGCATCCTTTGCAGGATAAACTCAGAGTATAACTAAGCAGTTAATCCAGTTTTTATGTTTTGTTTGAAAAGAAACAAAACCTGCAGAGATGAACCACCCAGATTTACTCTCCTCATCTCAGTCCTCCTGTCAAGCCTGGGAGAACCAAAGGAACATTTGATGTTTTCTCTCACTTGATTCTGATCACCTGTTTCTTTTTTCTTAGCAGTTTCCTGGAGCGACGCGCCAGTGAACCACAGGATGTCGTACGGATCTATAGATGGTGGCTCCTTCGGTGGCCGGAACCCGTTTGGGGGCCCCAGTAGGCAGGGCTATCAGCCAGTAGGTAAGGCCAGATTATGATTCCTGTAATAAAGGCTGCAAACCTGCAGCCCATAAGCGTCGTTAGACCTATTTAAGGGTGGCTTCAGTCACCCTTTCTTTGGCATTAGCCACCCTATAATTATTTTGCGATTTAAAAAAAAATATATTTTTTTCTGTATTTATTTTTCCCTCATATTTTCCCAAAACAAATGCAGTAAAGCACCGAATAAAAGCCATAAAGAAGACAAGTTGATCTAAACAATCATAGGCGTAACTTCCTTAAGGACCGGTGTGGACATGTCCCCACCAATATTTTGTCCACGTATTTTGCTTTCGGTGCTGTGTATATCTGATTAAAACCCCATTCATGCCGCTCCTCAGAAAGAAAATAAAAAAGTTCTCCCCGCTGCTCACCGTCCACAAACCCCGACAAAAAACTCAGAAAAAAGAATCTGTTGCCTCTCGCTTTCTCCCCTATCACCCCCCTCCGCCCTCTCCCCATAACATTTGAATTGAAGATATCCGCGGGTGACGGGTCGGGTTCGGTAGTCATCCTAACGGGTTCGGGCGGGTGCGGGTTTGTAAAACTCGACCCATGCAGGTCTCTAAGCTACACTACATTCAGTATCGTTGCCATAGAAACAGACAACAGCGCCATATATCAGAATTATACTAAAACACACGCAAATAATTTCCCACATAAAAAACAGGACTTTCAGTCCATTACAGTTTTCCGTTTTGAGAGGGTTGTTTATTTTGCGTTTATTAAGTGATGGCTGTGGTATATTAGCTTTCACTGCTATAAGCTTTCGCAGCAGTGATTGATTAATTTAAACACCTGCTCTACTGATGGTCTATCGGAGTTGGTGTTTAGGTTGAACATAAAGAACACCTTTTATTTGAAGCTTCTTGTAGCTACTGTTTTAATCCCGGCTTTACTTAAAACTTTTTCCTGACTTTGATAGTGTTGCCATTCAGTAGCAAGCACTGCGCCCCTTTTTCTTTTATATGTACATTTAAGATTTAGCGTGTTATGTTGACAACTCATGAGCAAGCTGCTTTTTGCAATCTAGCAGGGAGGTAAGGATAGGATCTTACAGGTGTGACGTCACTCTGCAGGGGGTCCAAAGATAAAATATTTAAAAAATTTTGGCATTGGAATTTCAGATTTAAGGGAGTTAGAAAGTTCACTTAGTAAAAGTGCAAATAATAAATCTGATTAGCGATTACTTTTAAGCTGGTTGAACATACCGCGACAGACTGGTGACCTGTCCAGGGTGATCCCACCTCTCACCCAGAACGTGGCTGGAGATATGCACCAGCACCTCCTGATCCCACTGAGGGATAAGGTTAAAGAAAATGGATGGTTGAACATAGTCCGCTCTCCCAGATTCTATCATCAGTATTGATACCCTCAGGGGCGGATTTAGGAAATTTGGGGCCCTAGGCAAAGACAGGCAGGGGGCCCCCTGAGAAGTAAACCCATAAAACAGACCCATTGTACAGATAGAGAAATGTTCATAGAATAGACATCCATTATCTGTTCTAGGTTTTGTCCCTCTCTTCTTGTCCCTTTTTCCTCTCTATTTATCAGCGTTCTGATGGCATTTTAGCCAAAGGATTTTTATCAAAAACATAATTAATGTGCACAAATAAGGATTAGTTGTATTAACCATACATGGAAACAGAGTTTTATGGGGCCCCAGAACTTGGGGCCCTAGGCAACTGCCTAGTATTGCCTAATGGTAAATCCCCCCTGGATACCCTGCTGGTGGATGTTCTTGACAGAAAGACGGAGTTGCTTAATCATATTCTGCTTAAGGTCCCATAAGATCTCGTCCGAGTCCTGGTTTAAAAGTAAATACATTTTAAAAAGTGACCTAAAATTGACTGTCAATAAATGTTCTACAAAATTGATATATTTCTTTGATTTCTTTGATTTGTACTGTCTGTTTAGATTTATGTGATATTTTTTGCACAAAATATATAAGTGAATATTGTAACATTTATGTTTTCAACTGTAAGCATTAAATTGATAAATGTTATTCGCATTTTTTTAGCTTTATCCTTTCCAACAAGAAAAAAAGGCGTCGCGCAGGTAGCTCCCTTTCCTTATGAGCCGTCCCCACCAACTTTCAACACAAAGTTACACCCTTGTCTTAGACAACGCCTTAGCAGGTGCACTGAAAAAATTCGGCGCGCGCAGGGCGCGCGCATTATCTTCTAGGGGCTAAGCCACCCTTGTCTCTTAAACCTAGAGACGCCCCCTTCATCCACTGTTAGGATTCAGGATTGATGTCCTTAATGGAAGAAGATCCAGTCAGCATTCTGGCTAAGTTCAGCGTGTGAGGCGACGGCCTCGTGGCGAAAGGAAGACAGAAAAACAACGTTTTTCATAAAAAGGATTTAAAAAAATGGCAGTTTAAAGCTACATATCTAACAGTGTTGAACGGTTTCAGCTCTTGTCATGTTTCCACCATAAACATCACGTCTTATATTTTACACTACATCCTTTTATGGGGCCCATAAGGAGCAGTGGGTCCTCATAATGTCCTATATATGGAAATGAAGGGCCTCTACAGAAGCCCTGAAAGGCAAGACAAAGGAAAAGGAAAGTTTTAAGTATTTTTTCCCGTTGTTTTATTTTCTGCCCTGAAAGGCAAGTGAAAAAAAACAACATAAAAAACAAAGGAAAATTTTTATGTCTGTTCTTGTAATACCTTATTTTGCAACTAGAGGCACTGACGTACTGTACTGTACAGAGGCCTGCTTTTCAAGAATCGATGTCCCAAATGCAGCATTGACTCGCTGTCAGTCAATGCTTATTATAAGTTAACTTAAGTTAGACATGGGTGTAAGGAAAAAAAAAAAACTTCAATCTTTTCTTTTCCAGACTTTATTTTTCTTGCCTTTCAGGGCGTCCGTAGACCTCAGTCTGGAATAAATGGTAGAAAACACAGAGACACAGACTCCTCTGTAAGCAGGACTCTAGGGGTGTGCAAAATAATTGTCATGATGATGCATCGTGATTCTAATCTTCGTTATCTGCTGCATCGATTCTGGACGCCAAGTCGATTATTAATTAAAAATAAATGAATAAATAAAATTGCATGAATGGTTGGCGAACATCAGTCAAAAACAAGTGGAATACAACTTCTAGTCCAGTAGATGTCGCTGCGGATGTGTTGACGCACGCTGCCTTGTGTCACAAGCGGGATACTGAGACGAGTCATTCAAAAACAAAACATGGAGGAGATTGAGAAAGTTCGTCCGGCTCCGTCACATTTCAAATCCGATGTCTGGAAGCATTTAGGTTTTAAAAACAAAACCAATATAAGACACTACCCAGGTCATACTCAGCCAGTCAGCCATTGGTAATGGCTGTATTTTTTTCTAACAGTGTTCAGTGAAAATATCGCAATGCATCGCAATCATTCAAGTATCGTGATGAATCGTGATAGAATTGTATCGTGGCCTGTGAACCGTGATTCAAATCGAATTGTGACTTCTTTGGCAATAGCCACCCCTACAGGACTCTCTGCTTAAAGTCACCATGGTTTAAAAACGGCAATAAAAACTCTGCATCGATAACTTTTGTTGAATAGAATCACTAATGTTTTCTATATATATATATATATATATATATATATATATATATATATATATATATATATATATATATATATATATAAAAAAACAAGAATCTGAAAAAAGTAAAAGTGGTAAAGTGATAAACTTCTTTATTATGATGCCCAGAAATAAAAATGGTGTGCTTTCCAAAGTGGCTGTTGTGGTTCCGGCCTCAGAGGGAGAACGTTACAGCAGACGGGTCAGGGAGGAGGTTCTGGTTCTGGTTCTGTTTAAAGCAGAGTCAGGCTTCTAGGAGGTATGAGAGATAATAGACTAGACACAGAAATAAAGACCTTAATAAAATCAGCTTCTAGTTTCACTTTCAGAAATGAAAACTTCTCCTAAATGTGTAAAATATCAGAACATCTCTAAAGGATGTTTTAACTGTGGATTCCTCCTGAAGTCTCCAGCCGCCCCCCCCACTCTCAGAGGTCAACACATTTGTCATTCATGAAAAAATGAATAATTTACCATCTGTCCTGCATGCATATGAGCTGAAATACAAACAGCTACATAATAAGTGGAGCTGGAGGTAAACGGTTCAGGTTTTCTTCTCTCCGCCTACTGCCTGATGATCGGGACACGGATGCTGTTCTGATTCTTGATTAAAGCATCTGGACGATATCTGGTTCTATCGCTGCAAAAAGAGAATTAAGTTCTTAAAATGTTCTTGAAATAAACTGATTTGTTTTTGATTTTAGCAAGTTGTAAAAACAATAAAAACTAACAATAGAACAATGTTCACTTCATTATTATTATTATTATTATTATTATTATTATTATTATTATTAATTCATGACATTAGTTCATGTATGTACAATCATTGCATTGCATCAATGCATTTATTTAAAGATTTCTGCTTTTGCATATTTCATAATTTGCTTTAATTCTTAGCAAATCAAATCAAAAACCAAACTAAAGGGCTTATTTTTATTTCCCCGTCTGCAGAGGTTTGCATTAGGCCTTTTTATTGGCAAATATTCATCCATTTTGTAGTAAATTATGTAATAATTGCACTAAAAAGAACAGTTTTTATCCTTAAATCACTAAAGAATGTTAAACTACATCTGATGTCATCATGGGACATGGTCAGAGCAGGCCGGCTAAATATGGTCGAACCATGTTTATCTGCATTTTAGTTGTTTCTTTCTTTAGATTACAGACTATATAGCATAACGTTAACATGAAAGGAAAACAAAGCAGTGCAGAAGGGACGGAGGAGTGATAAAACAGAAAAGGTAATACCTTATTAAGCTTTGACACATTATAGTTTAGTACGCTTACTATTTTTAGGGAGGTAAAAACATAATTTAGGTTTTTTTACTAAACAAAATCAAGCGACCCGGTTAAGCTGATGGTATGGATAATGCTACACATACGGATGGCGCTACC